CTGGCCCAGGCTGCCCAGGGAGGCTGGGGAGTCTCCTTCTCTGGAGATATTCCAGCCCCGCCTGGCCACGGTGCTGTGCCCCCTGCTCTGGGTGACCCTGCTTGGGCAGGGGGTTGGGCTGAGGGACCCCCAGAGGGCCCTGCCAACCCCACCATGCTGGGATTCTGGGAATTCCAAAACACCGGCATGAAGCAGCGGCAACTACCGACCTGTCAGCCTCACCTCTGTGCCTGGGATGATCATGGAACAGCTCCTCCTAGAAGCTCTGCTCAGGCACACGGAGGACCGGGAGGTGACTCGAGACAGCCAGCGTGGCTTCACCAAGGCCAAGTCCTGCCTGACCAACCCAGCAGCTTTCTGTGATGGCGTGACTGCGCCAGTGGAGAAGGGAAGAACGACAGATGTGATCTATCTGGGCTTCTGTAAAGCCTTCGACACAGTCCCTCACACCATCCTTCTCTCTGAGTTGGGGAGACAGGGATTTTATGGGTGGGCTGTTGGTGGATGAGGAATTGGTTGGAAGGTCACAGCCAGAGGGTAGTGGTGAATGGATCCATGTCCAAATGGACGCCAGGGACAAGCGGTGGCCCTCAGAGGTCCGTACTGGGACCGGTGCTGTTTGATATCTTCATCGATGACACAGACAGCGAGACCGTGTGCACCCTCAGCACGTTTGCAGATGGCACCAAGCTGAGCGGTGCAGCTGACACGCCAGAAGGGTGGGATGGCATCCAGAGGGACGTGGAGAAGCTGGAGAAGTGGGCACCTGTGAACTCATGAGGTTCAACAAGGCCAAGTGGGCACCTGTGAACTCATGAGGTTCAACAAGGCCAAGTGGGAGGTGGATGAAAAGCAGGACATGAGCCATCAATGTGATCCAGAAGGCCAATCATGTCCCGGGTTGCATCAAGAGAAGTGCGGGCACAGGGTGAGGGAGGGGATTCTGCCCATCTACCCCCCGGGAGTCCTGCGTCCAGCTCTGGAGCTCTCAGCACAGGACAGAGCTGGAGGTGTGGGAGCGGGGCCAGAGGAGGCCCCAGCAATGATGCGAGGGCTGGAACCCCTCTGCTGGGAGGAAGAGCTGGGAGAGCTGGGGCTGCTCAGCCTGGGGAGGAGAAGGACAAGGGGAGACCTTAGAGCAGCTGCCAGGGCCTGGAGGGGCCTCTAGGAAAGACGGGGAAAATATTCTCAGCAGGGCTTATTGCGATAGGAGGAGCAGCAACGGCTTTAAACTAAGGGAGGACAGCTTTAGAAGAGACAAAGAAGACATTTTTCACCATGAGGGTGGTGAGGCCCTGGCCCAGGTTGCTCAGAGCGGTGGGCGATGCCCCCATCCCTGGGAACATTCAAGGCCGGGTTGGACGGGGCTCTGAGCACCCTGATCCAGCTGGAGACGTCCTTGCTCACTGCAGGGGGGTTGGACCATACGGCCTTGGAAGGTCCCTCCCAACCCAAACCACGCTGTGATTCTACATTTCCAAGCAGAGCTCTGCCAAGCCTCAGTAGCCACGAGCAAGACCAGCGGCACGACGGCCAGCACAGAGCGCGGGAGGAGACACCTACCATAGTTTTCAGACGAGGACACGTACGTCAGGATTAGGAGGGCGAAGTTTTCCAGCAGGTTGAGCAGCAGGTTGAAGTGGCAGAGGTGCAGGTAGCGAGGGTGCGAGCAGTGGCAGCTCTGGTAGTGGTTCCAGTAGGCGATGGCCACCAGGAAGCGGGGGGCCGAGTGGAGGCCGATGCACAGGCGCCAGACGTAGCGCTGGGGGGTCTCGCCCCCGATGGCAGCGCCGATGGAGGGCCGGGAGTTCGGGGCC